CAGCTTCACGTTTACTGAGATCTTTGAAGAGTCTGATCCTCTCATGTGGTTTTCATATGCAGACCCTTGATCTTCATGTGCTGTGCAACGGGAATCTCAGCTATGAGAAGTGTGCTGAAATATGCTCTTTAATATCCATTTATAATCATAGTGAGCTCTTGACGCTTTGTGAACTCTTTTGTTGAACTCACCGTGACGTCAGTTCAGATCTAAACCAGTCCTGGAAACACTTCACACGTCACGTGCTGTGTATGGATCTGATCTGTGTATGAATCTGATCTGTGTATGAATATGATCTGTGTATGGATCTGATCTGTGTATGGATCTGATCTGTGTATGAATCTGATCTGTGTATGAATCTGATCTGTGTATGAATCTGATCTGTGTATGAATCTGATCTGTGTATGAATCTGATCTGTGTATGAATCTGATCTGTGTATGGATCTGATCTGTGTATGAATCTGATCAGTTTATGAATCTGATCTGTGTATGAATCTGATCTGTGTATGAATCTGATCTATGTATGAATCTGATCTGTGTATGAATCTGATCTGTGTATGGATCTGATCTGTGTATGAATCTGATCAGTTTATGAATCTGATCTGTGTATGAATCTGATCTGTGTATGAATCTGATCAGTTTATGAATCTGATCTGTGTATGAATCTGATCTGTGTATGAATCTGATCTGTGTATGAATCTGATCTGTGTATGAATCTGATCTGTGTATGAATCTGATCAGTTTATGAATCTGATCTGTGTATGAATCTGATTTATGTATGAATCTGATCTGTGTATGAATCTGATCTGTGTATGAATCTGATCTGTGTATGAATCTGATCTGTGTATGAATCTGATCTGTGTATGAATCTGATCTGTGTATGAATCTGATCTGTGTATGAATCTGATCTGTGTATGAATCTGATCTGTGTATGAATCTGATCTGTGTATGAATCTGATCTGTGTATGGATCTGATCTGTGTATGAATCTGATCAGTTTATGAATCTGATCTGTGTATGAATCTGATCTGTGTATGAATCTGATCTATGTATGAATCTGATCTGTGTATGAATCTGATCTCTGTATGAATCTGATCTGTGTATGGATCTGATCTGTGTATGAATCTGATCAGTTTATGAATCTGATCTGTGTATGAATCTGATCTGTGTATGAATCTGATCAGTTTATGAATCTGATCTGTGTATGAATCTGATCTGTGTATGAATCTGATCTGTGTATGAATCTGATCTGTGTATGAATCTGATCAGTTTATGAATCTGATCTGTGTATGAATCTGATCTGTGTATGAATCTGATATGTGTGTGAATCTGATCTGTGTATGAATCTGATCTGTGTATGAATCGGATCGCTTATGAATCTGATCTGTGTATGAATCTGATCAGTTTATGAATCTGATCTGTGTATGAATCTGATCAGTTTATGAATCTGATCTGTGTATGAATCTGATCTGTGTATGAATCTGATCTGTGTATGAATCTGATCAGTTTATGAATCTGATCTGTGTATGAATCTGATCTGTTTATGAATCTGATCTGTGTATGAATCTGATCTGTTTATGAATCTGATCTGTGTATGAATATGATCTGTGTATGAATCTGATCTGTGTATGAATTTGATCTGTATATGAATCTGATCAGTTTATGAATCTGATCTGTTTATGAATTGATCTGTGTATGAATGTGATCAGTTTATGAATCTGATCTGTGTATGAATCTGATCTGTTTATGAATTGATCTGTGTATGAATGTGATCAGTTTATGAATCTGATCTGTTTATGAATTGATCTGTGTATGAATCTGATCTGTGTATGAATCTGATCTGTGTATGAATCTGATCTGTTTATGAATTGATCTGTGTATGAATCTGATCTGTGTATGAATCTGATCAGTTTATGAATCTGATCTGTGTATGAATCTGATCAGTTTATGAATCTGATCTGTGTATGAATCTGATCTGTGTATGAATCTGATCTGTGTATGAATCTGATCGGTTTATGAATCTGATCTGTGTATGAATCTGATCGGTTTATGTATTTATGTATTTTATGTATTTTGATATATACATTAATACATTTAATTAAAATATTTAATAATTTATACAATTTAATTCAAAATAAATAATTAATCTATGCTTGCATAATACATGTAAATAAACTTTTTATGTTATATAATTTAAAAATGTTTTTAATTCAATGTGTTAACATTTTTATAAAAAATATATAGTTTAATATTTGATTTAATCATTTAGAATTTCTTATATTGATAGAAATTCTATATCTATATTTCATAGATAGAATATATATATATATATATATATATATATATATATATATATATATATATATATATATATATATATATATATATATATATATATATGTATATGGAAATTTTGTGCATTGTTTGAACTTTTGAGAAATGTTCTGTTCACAATAGTTGATCATGAGTGACTGAGGAACTGTTGAGACAGAGTTTCTCTGAGGAGAACCGTGAGCAGAACTGATGATACATCCACAGAAAACACTCGTTTCTAAACGATTCAGACAGAAATGCATTTCCACAAATCTGATTTCAAACACACATGGATCTGGTTATGGACTTCATGCATTTTTTGTTGTTCGAGCAATAAACAGTCTGACATATTTCACTCTGATACGCCTGACAAGCACATTTTTGTTTCCTGTCTGAACAAATATATATATATATATATATAGACAGGAAACAAAAATGAATGATATATATATATATATATATATATATATATATATAACAAATTAATTTTTAAAGGCTACAAATCTTTATTCTAAAAAAATCTATATAATTATTTGAAAAATAATCATCATTTAAATTTGGATACATTTTTTGTATATATATATATAACATTTAAAATAAACTTTATGCTGAATTATGAGCAGAACATGTTCCATGAGATCCACTCGTGTTTCCTTGTATTATCAGGCTCAGTAAAGGCAGATGATGAGAAATAAACACACATTCATGCATTAGAAGTGACTGCAGATCAGTGTGTGTATCATGCAGCGTTTCTGCAGTAAACATCTTCATCTTTACCTCCGTTTCTCCTGTTTCTCCTGTTTCTCCTGTTTCTCTCTTCCGTCCTCAGATGAAGATGAAGATGAAGATCGTCCTTCAGTTGTGTGTCCTCGTAAAGCTGAATAACTACTAACTGTTCTTAGCCGTCTCTCCTCTTCCCCGTTTCTCCTCCTCTTTTCCTTTAGGAGTTTTGAGGAGTGGTTTATCCGAGCCCATTACTCTGTGTGTGTGTGTGTGTGTGTGTGTGTGTGTGTGTGTGTGTGTGTGTGTGTGTGTGTGTGTGTGTGTGTGTGTGTGTGTGTGTGTGTGTGTGTGTGTGTGTGTGTGTGTGTGTGTGTGTGTGTGTATCTGATGGTCGCTCACTTATCTGTGTGTTCTTTGATGTGTTGTGCTGCTGGCAGACTGCAGCCCTGTGTTTAAAATACCTTTGTAATGACCTTGTTTATGATGTGTGTGTGTGTGTGTGTGTGTGTGTGTGTGTGTGTGTGTGTGTGTGTGTGTGTGTGTGTGTGTGTGTGTGTGTGTGTGTGTGTGTGTGTGTGTGTGTGTGTGTCTGGATGTTCTTTAGTGCTGCTCAGACCTGTTTCTTTTATTCTCCATGATGTGGAAAGAGATACTGGGATCTTTTGTTGAAGTCCAAACCGGAAACTGAAGAAGATCCAGCTCATATTAATATCAAAATTAAAAGTAAAAAAATACCAGTCCTCCTAATAAAATAATGTCTAGTCCTCTCTCGTCCTTGCCTGTGGATCCTCTGCTTTTCTCCTTCCTGAGCTCCTCCGTGGGACTAGAGTCCGGTGTTTCATTAGCACTTGCGGATCCGGCCTCGCTCCGTTCCCACGGCTCTCGGCCCCGCCCTGCTTCACACACTGCTATTAAATAAATAAATCTCTATTATAATATTATTATTATTGTACATTTTATATATTTATTTAATATATGTTAATATAAACTATTTAAGGACTCCAAAAATAGACTTTATACAATTATTTTTTATTTAATTTTTATTTAATTTTTATTAATTTTATTTTATTTTTTACGGTCCCCTAATTGCATCGGGGATTTTTTTGGGGGGGTATTTTTTTTATATATCTATATATAATACTTAATTTTAAATATTTTTTATTTTATTTTATTAGGAGATAATGAACACAGAACTTCTACACAAGATGCTTTTATACCAAAATTGTCAATAATAAGTCATACCTTATTGTTTTTTATTTTGGATTTATTTTATTTGGCATTTTATCTTGTATTATATATCCTTTTTTGTGTGTGTTTTATTTTATTATTAGTGAATGAACATACAGTACTCCTACACAAGTGCCAGTAATAAGCTGTCTTATTTTTTATTTTAAACTTAAATTATATTTATTTAATTTTACCTAACATTAATAATTTAATTTAATTTAATTTAATTTAATTTAATTTAATTTAATTTAATTTAATTTAATTTAATTTAATTTAATTTAATTTAATTTAATTTAATTTAATTTAATTTAAGCTTAAATGCATGTTGTTTCCCCTCGTGAGCCTCGTAGTGCCTCATGTCCGGATGTGGACGTCTCCTCTGTTCCTCTGCAGAATGTTCTGTGTTATTGGTTCCAGATGAGTGTTGATGGTTTCGCTGGTCTGAGTTTAAGCCCATCGCTTGCAGAACACGGTGGCTTGTGGTTCCCACATGAATGAAAGACATGAATGAAGTATGAATTGTTGCACACTGTTGTTGATGCTCTCTCTCCCTCTCTCTCTCTCTCTCTCTCTCTCTCTCTCTCTTCTCTCTCTCTCTCTCTCTCTCTCTCTCTCTCTCTCTCTCTCTCTCTCTCTCTCTCTCTCTCTCTCTCTCCCTCTCTCTCTCTCTCTCTCTCTCTCTCTCTCTCTCTCTCTCTCTCTCTCTCTCTCTCTCTCTCTCTCTCTCTCTCTCTCTAGTGTTCGGTGTCCTGTGGGAAGGGAATGAAAGAGCGACAGATCGTGTGTGTGGACCAGAATCAGACCCAGATGGAGGACGAGGCCTGCGCTCATCAGAACCGGCCCAGAACACAGAAGGCCTGCAGGGCGGGACCCTGCCCCGGCTGGAGAGCCAATCAGTGGAGAGCGGTGCGTGACCTCACTTCCTGTCTGTCAGAAAACAATTCAATACATTTTATTTTACATATGTTTTTGTTTTTTTGTTATATGTTATATATGTTTTCAATACATAGTACTCCCATAAAATATATTTTTATACAAAAACTAAGGATTTTTCCTACGGAAGAGGATTAGGCCCAAACAAAAATAATAATGCAATAATGCGCTCTCTGCAATAGTGCTGTACTATTGCAGATAGATAATTAAACATTTTATTTCAACTTTAAAAAAATAATAATTTAAACTTTTTTCTCAAAACACAACGAGTTAATTCTCAAAGTATAATGAGTTCATTCTCAACATTTTATTTCAACTTTAAAAAAATAATAATAATTTCAACTTTTTTCTCAAAACACAACGACTTTATTCTCAAAGTATAATGAGTTTATTCTCAACGTTTTATTTTCTCGAAATTTAACGAGTTTTTTCTCAAAACACGACTTTATTCTCGAAATGTAACGAGTTTATTCTCAACATTGTATTTTGACTTTTTTTTCTCTAAATTTAACGAGTTTTTTCTCACATTATAATGACTTTAATCTCGAGATGGTTTTATTTATTTTTATTATTGCTTGGTCCTAATTCTCTTCCGTATTTTTCCCTTTTAAAAACACATATTTTGCCAATAAATACATTTTATTTTTATATTTTATAAACTAGGGCTGTCAAATGATTAATCACGATTAATCACATCCAAAATAAAAGTTTTTTTTACATAATATATGTGGGTGTACTGTGTATAATTATTTTGTATATATATATATAAATACACACACATGCATGTATATTTAAGAAAAAAATATTATTTATATATAAAATATTTATATTTATATATAATATAAATTATATATAAATCTATATACAGTATATACATGAAAATATTTCTTAAATATATACAAGCATGTGTGTGTATTTATATATATAAAATAATTATACACAGTACACCCACATATATTATGTAAAAAAAACTTTTATTTTGGATGTGATTAATCACGATTAATCATTTGACAGCCCTAATATAAACACATTTTTTTCCCCAGTAAAATACTAGACACAATATGTGAGTTTTGTAACCTGATTAATCTCAGAAGTAGTGCACTAGTTTCCCGAGGCCGACTGTCGAGCCGGCAGAGTTCAGTGGAGATTGCGATCATGTTGGCCAGCAAACGCACCCCAGATGTAGTGAATCCACCCAGTGTTCTGATTGGCTGAGGTGTTGGGTCACATGGGTCGTCCAGTTTAACCCCGTCATTCCCCATGTCTGGAAGCAATCATGACCTCTCAGAGGAAGAACACACACACACACACACACACACTACACCAGTGCTGTAACACAGACGTCTCGTAATCATGCGCTCGTGTGTGTGTGTGTGCAGTGTTCGGTGAGCTGTGGCGCTGGCGTTCAGTCCCGCGAGGTCTTCTGCAGGTTAAAGGTCAGAGGTCAGGTCAGGGATGACCTGTGTGACGAGCGTGTGCGTCCCGTGTCGATCCGCTCCTGCTTCCTCACCGGGTGTCACACACACAGCTGGACGGCTCACGGGTGGCGGGACGTGAGTAACACACACAGTCACACACACGTTACACTCGTGCTGATACACTGTATCTCTTAAGGGGATTTCCCAGCCTGAGCAGAAAAAGATTTTATTTATTTATTTATTTATTCATTTATTTTTCATGTAATTTGTATTATAATTATTATATTTTTTACATTAAAATTTTTTTTATTAAAATTTTCTTTTTTTTATTACATATATGTATAGTAAATGGACTCAGTACTTTTACTGCACATAAGATGCTTTTATACAATTTTTTTAATTTAAACACTGTGTGTGCAGTGTGAAAATTGTTTCCACATTCTTTTCAGTGTAGAGAAAGATGAAGAAAATCAAGAATAAAAGTCCCACTTCAATCAGAGGGAAAGTATTGTAAAAATGAGCATAAGGAAAGAAAGGCTGTTTGCCTGATCTCGCTGGTCCTAGATCAGGAGATGTGATCGTGACCCTCGGCTGAGGGCTTGTGTGATAAGATCATCTCCAGAACAACAGCTCAGACTTCAGACAGGCTCAGATATAACACAGCGGACTGATGTTTCTGCTGTGTGTGTGTGTGTGTGTGTGAGCTGTGATGGTGCAACAGCGCCCTCGTCTGGAGGATCTCAACACTTCATCCTTCCTTAAATACCAGCAGATTTACACAATAGTATCCAGCTGCAGACCCGCAGCACCACCAGTTTCAGAACCCCAGCGCCAGAACCGGAAGTAAGGGGCGGAGCTTACGTTCTAACACCAGCGCCAGGACCGGAAGTGAGGGGTGGAGCTTACGTTCTAAACCGAGTAACGCCACCTAACGCTTTGGAGCGTAATTTGCTTAGACACGAAACGGCATTATTACACACGAAACGTCATACTTTATATACGTATTATAATGATACATTAAGGTATAGTACAATAAGCATTTTAAAACATTGATTTTGTTTAATATAATTCTATATAGTTATCCGTTTTTATTGTATTATGAGTTACTTCCTGATCATGATGGTGAAAAATAATGCTTGAAACTTATGGTCATTTTATATAAAATATACTTTATTTCACAAGAACATGTGCAGCATGCATTTTTCTTTATGTAAAATAATGTCAAAAATCTAAAAAGAGAGAGAAAATCCGGCATTGTTTTAAAAGAAACCATAAAAATGTACCGTAGCCTACTTCAAATAATAGCCGAGTCCCAAATAGACGATTGTCTCTTTTACACGCCTGGTGTGGCTGCAGGTCTGGGTAAATATAAGTCCGGTCTCAAATAGAGGTCGGGTCTGTTTTTTAGTTTCAGGTTGTATTAAATCTTCTAAAACCCGTCAGATCGTCCGCTTTTTGGCGGCCGCCAAAGCAAATTTTTGTCCCGCCAAAGCCTATTTTGACCGGTGACGATGTAGAATAGAATGACTGCTGCGCATGACAGGGCGCTTGACGAGCAGAGAGAGAGAGCCCTGGCCGCGCGCGCGCACTCTCACGTCTTCAAACAACACTTGCTCTTTATTTGTCACATACCAGTTATAGTTCATACAACGAGCAGTGACTCACTGTGTAATAAAAACATACCCTAAATATTATTTAAAAGGTGCAAAAATTTTAAATATTTTTAAATACTTGCAAAAATAACCATGCTTGTGTCATTGTAAATAATTCCGCCCCTCCCTCACTTCCGGTTCTGGCGCTGGGGTTCTGGCACTGGGGTTCTGAAACTGGTGGTGCTGCGGGTCTGCAGCTGGATATATCTCGATTTACATGGGAATTATTCAGTTTAGAGTTCTGACTTCTTAACCAATCAGCGGAGTTGTGGGCGGGACTATCTGTTTGACTGACAGATAAAATAATATAATAATAATATGCTTACCCACTCACACACAACCTAGGTTACAGCAAAAATATGTTTCATGCAGAAAAAGTTATTACAGTTTGATGAAAGATTTTAGATAGCTAAGTAAACGTGTGTGTGTGTGTGTGTGTGTGTGTGTGTGTGTGTGTGTGTGTGTGTGTGTGTGTGTGTGTGTGTGTGTGTGTGTGTGTGTGTGTGTGTGTGTGTGTGTGTGTGTGTGTGTGTCCAGTGTAACGCCACCTGTGGACGAGGCGTAAGGTCCAGGTCAGTGATTTGTCTGGAAGGAGGGATGAACGTGGTTCCTGATCGTGTGTGTGACGCCTCAGCCAAACCTCACACACACGAGCCGTGTCACAGCGCCACCTGTCAGCACGTGTGGGTCACTGCAGCCTGGAGTCAGGTGTGTGTGTGTGTGTGTGTCAATCACAGCATCAGCCTGAGCTTCTTATGCTTCAGTCACACTGATTCTGACATCAGAGCAAAATCATAAACTATCACAGGGAAGTGTGGCAATAATGTAGTGACCACAAATATTGATGTATGATGACAGTTTGCAGTTTCACATTAAATAAATTCACAAAAAAGAAGTAAAATAATTAAACAACTGAAATTCCTCCGTCACATAAAAAAAACATAAAAATATATTAAAATAATGCAATTTCTTCACTTGCTTTTCCCATACAAGTACATAAAAAAATTATAAATAAATATTAGAATAAATACATTTTTTCACTTGCTGTTCAAATTCATATAAAAAATAAATAGAATATTAAATAAATACATTCATGAATTAATTTACTACTTGTGCCATTTCACATAAAATATAGATAATACATTAATATTTATTAAAATAATGAAATTTCTTCACTTGTTTCTCAAATTCATATAAAAAAATCCAAAAACAATAAAGAAATCTTAAAAAATAATGAAATTTAAAAATAGAAACAAATAAATAAATAAAAAATTAAATAATTAATAAATAAATAATAAATAATGAAATTTCTTTACATGTCCCTCGAATAAATAAAAAGCTTCACTTGTTGTTCAAATTCCACTTAATTGTTTTAAATAAATAATAAAATAAATAAATTATTAATTAAATTCCTTCTCTTTTTGCTCTGATTCATATAAAATAAAATAATAAATACATGTTAAAATAACTCAATTTCACACAAAACGCACAACAAATAATAAATAAATAAATAAAAATTAAAGTAATGGACTTCCTTCATTTGCTTCGTCAAAGTCACATAAAATTTAAATAATAAATAAATGGTAAATGGACTGCATTTATATAGCGCTTTCACAGACCCAATGGCCACCAAAGCGCTTTACATTTTGCCTCACATTCACCCATTCAAAATAAATATTAACATAATGAAATCCCTTCACTTGCTGCTGCAATTCACATAAATAAATTAAAAATTAATTAATAAGTTAATAATTAGTTAATAAAGTTAGTTAAATAATAATATTTAATTAGTTAATTATTTAATAAAATAATAGTAATACAAATAATTATAAAAATTCATGGTAACACTTACGCATTATAGCGCTTTTGTATGATGAGTGTGGTTGATGTGTGTTCAGTGTTCGGTGAGCTGCGGCTCTGGACTCCAGCACCGGGCGGTTCGTTGCTCTGCCGTGACCTCTGACCTCCGGCTGACCTCTGACCTCCAGCTGACCTCTGACCTGCAGTCGTTCTCTCAGTGCAGCGAGCGCCGGCCGACCGACAGCAGACCCTGTCGACTCCCAGCCTGTCCATCAGCTGGAGCCTGGAGCGCCGGCCCCTGGAGTCAGGTGAGGGCCAGTGATACTCATCACAAGTAACTTGAGTTACGTAATCAGATTCCTTTTTCAAGTAACTTGAGTTACGTAATCAGATTCCTTTTTCAAGTAACTTGAGTTACGTAATCAATTACTTTTTCAAGAAACTTGAGTTACGTAATCAGATTACTTTTTCAAGTCACTTGAGTTACGTAATCAGATTACTTTTTCAAGTCACTTGAGTTACGTAATCAGATTCCTTTTTCAAGTCACTTGAGTTACGTAATCAGATTACTTTTTCAAGTAACTTGAGTTACGTAATCAATTACTTTTTCAAGAAACTTGAGTTACGTAATCAGATTACTTTTTCAAGTCACTTGAGTTACGTAATCAGATTACTTTTTCAAGTTACTTGAGTTACATAATCGATTACTTTTTCAAGAAACTTGAGTTACGTAATCAGATTACAGTTACATAATCAGATTACTTTTTCAAGTAACTTGAGTTACATAATCAATTACTTTTTCAAGAAACTTGAGTTACGTAATCAATTACTTTTTCAAGTAACTTGAGTTACATAATAAGATTACAGTTACATAATCAAATTACTTTTTCAAGTAACTTGAGTTACTTTTTCAAATAAGTAATGCTAGTTACTTTTCTACATGTATTGACTGACAGCTCTCCTGTCCCCATGTTGAGAGAAATAAAGTGAGGAGGCGTTGTGTGTGAACATGATGGTTATTGTAGTTCTAGACTAAATGTGAACATGCATTTACTCGGTATCATTAATTCAATATTCCTCTAAATGAATAAAAACAGTAAAATGAAATCTCAGAATTTTACGCAAAACTTTTATAATTAACTATATTAAATTACACCTACTTTATGTATTTAATCTCACTTTATTAACCAATGTGTTTGCTGCTGACCGTCAATGATCTAATTTAGCCAGACTAATAAGCAAAAATGACTTTAGATTAGATTTAAAAATAAGAGTGTTGAACTTCCTTCTCCTGTATCCTCATGTTCTTTAATCCAGAACAGCAGCTGAAATGTTTAAATATGCATCTACTGTACAGGAGTAAATATGCATTTCCTTCAGTCTGAGGCTTATTCATTTCCCTTTTGGTGGTAAACGACCTTAACATTTGCCAAAAACAGAACTTTTTGTTGTTTAAAATAAAAATAAAAAATAAAAATAAAAAGCAGCCCAGGTGAGAAAAAGTAACAGAAAAGTAATGTAACTCATTACTTTTCATAAAAAGTAACTAAGTAACGCAATATTGTAACGCATTACTTTCCATAAAAAGTAACTAAGTAACACAATATTGTAACGCAATACTTTCCATAAAAAGTAACTAAGTAACGGAATATTGTAACGTATTACTTTTCATAAAAAGTAACTAAGTAACGGAATATTGTAACGTATTACTTTTCATAAAAAGTAACTAAGTAACAGAATATTGTAACGTATTACTTTTCATAAAAAGTAACTAAGTAACGGAATATTGTAACGCAATACTTTCCATAAAAAGTAACTAAGCAACGTAATATTGTAACGCATTACTTTCCATAAAAAGTAACTAAGTAACGGAATATTGTAACGTATTACTTTTCATAAAAAGTAACTAAGTAACGGAATATTGTAACGCAATACTTTCCATAAAAAGTAACTAAGTAACGTAATATTGTAACGCAATACTTTCCATAAAAAGTTACTAAGTAACGGAATATTGTAACGCATTACTTTCCATAAAAAGTAACTAAGTAACGGAATATTGTAACGCATTACTTTTTATAAAATGTAACTGAGTAACTCTGTATTGTAACGCATTACATTCCATAAAAAGTAACCAAGTAATGCAAGTAGTTACTTTTTTTGGGAGTAACACAATATTGTAATGCAACACACAAGCTCGCTCTCTGCGTGCTATGGGCCTGACGTGTGTGTGTTGTGTCTCAGTGCTCTCAGACGTGCGGCGCTGGAATAATGCGGAGGACGGTGGAGTGTGTCGGCGCTGAGACCTGCTCATCGTCCAGCCGGCCCGAGTCCAGCGCCACCTGCAGGCAGACCGACTGTGAGAGTGTGTGTGTGAGAGTGTGTGTGTGTGCGTGTGTGTGTGTGTGTGAGTGAGTCTAGCGCCACCTGCAGGCAGACGGACTGTGAATGTGTGTGTGTGTGTGTGTGAGTGAGTCTAGCGCCACCTGCAGGCAGACCGACTGTGTGTGTGAGTGTGTGTGTGTGTGTGTGTGAGTGTGTGTGTGTGTGGGTGAGTCTAGCGCCACCTGCAGGCAGACCGACTGTGAGTGTGTGTGTGTGTGTGTGGGTGAGTCTAGCGCCACCTGCAGGCAGACCGACTGTGAGTGTGTGTGAGTGCGTGTGTGTGTGTGTGTGTGTGTGTGTGTGTGTGTGAGTGAGTGAGTGAGTCTAGCGCCACCTGCAGGCAGACGGACTGTGAATGTGTGTGTGTGTGTGTGTGTGTATGTGTGTGAGTGAGTGAGTCTAGCGCCACCTGCAGGCAGACCGACTGTGTGTGTGTGTGTGTGTGTGTGTGTGTGTGTGTGTGTGTGTGTGTGTGTGTGTGTGTGTGTGTGTGTGTGTGTGTGTGTGTGAGTGTGTGTGTGTGTGGGTGAGTCTAGCGCCACCTGCAGGCAGACTGACTGTGAGTGTGTGTGTGTGTGTGTGTGTGAGAGAGAGAGAGAGAGAGAGAGAGAGAGAGAGAGAGAGAGAGAGAGAGAGTGTGTAAGTAAGTCTAGCGCCACCTGCTCTCTGCCACTCTGTGAGCTCACCTGTGTGTGTGTGTGTGTGTGTGTGTTCGTGCGCGTGTGTGTGTGTGTGTGTGCGTGTGTGTGTGTGTGTGTGTTGCTCAGGTGAACTCCTCTCCAGCTGCCGGCAGCTCCAGGTGAAGGGAGGCATCAGAAGAGACGGAGAACATCACATCACAGTTCGCTCCAAGATCCTGCGCGTTTACTGTGCCGAGATGCACAGCGCTTTCCCGAAGGAGTACGTGACGCTGCGCAGCGGCCAGACCGACAACTACTCAGAGGTGTACGGGTACAGGTAAACACACCTGAGAAACACTGAGCACTGAACACACGACAGCACTGAGTCAAACACACCTGAGAAACACTGAGCACTGAACACACGACAGCACTGAGTCAAACACACTACAGCACTGAGTCAAACATGCAATGTAAAAATGTTTTTTTTTATATATTTATATATATATAAAAAAATATATATAAAAAAATATATATGAATATATATAATGAATTATAAAAATATTAAATATATAATATAATATATATATATATATATATATATATATCATTTTATTTCATTTTAATAATCAAAATAATAAATAATAAAATAATGAATTATAAGTCATTGTATATTCACATAGAAAACGTCTCAGGTTACGACTGTAACCATAGTTCCCTGAGAAAGGGAACGAGACGATGCGTCATCGACGCTTTGGGAACGCCCCCAGCGTGAATGCGTCTGAGCATCAATGTCAACTAGTCCAATGGAAAGAATGAGCGTCACGGGCGGGTGACGTCATGACCAGGAAGGCATAAGAGCACATCCGGTGAAACGCGGCATTAGCTTCAAAAAGTCGAAGCAAGCCGATCACAGGGATGCAGGAAGTATGGCAGGGTGACGCATCGTCTCGTTCCCTTTCTCAGGGAACTATGGTTACAGTCGTAACCTGAGACGTTCCCTTTCGAGGGAACTCGCGATGCGTCATCGACGCTTTGGGAACGAGAATACCCAAAACGCCAGAATTCCAAGTACCTGAGTGTTAGTCTGTTGGAACTAAGCACTAAGCACCTGAGAACCTGGGGCAGCATCCAGGTCCAAACTGTAAAACCTGACGAACGTGAGCGGTGAGGACCAGCCTGCCGCATCACATACGTCTTGAAGAGAAACTCCAAATAATAAGGCTTTAGAGGCCGCCATACCCCTCGTAGAGTGAGCTCTGACCACCAAAGGACACGGGTGGTCAGAGTACTCGTATGCAAGTGAAATAGCCTCAACTATCCACTTACTAACCGTCTGTTTAGAAGCAGGAAGACCCTTCTTAGGTGATCCAAAGCAAATAAATAACTGGTCGGACTTCCTCATTGAAGATGTCCGATGAACATAAGTATCCAGTGCTCGCACTGGACACAAGAGGTTCAGCCTTTCCTGGTCCGCAGATGCAAAAGGAGGACAGAAACTTGCAGCACAATAGGCCTCGGAATAATGGTAGGCACCTTTGGAACATATCCATGTTTCGGGTAAGAATGCCTTGGCCATCCCCGGTGCACTCAAGGCAGGTGGGGACCGAAAGGGCCTGAAGGTCTGACTCTAATAGGGACGAAATAGCTAGCAGAAAATAGTCTTAAAAGAAAGGAACTTCTCTGAGACCAAATCTAAGGGCTCGAAGGGAGCCCCAGATAGGCCTTCTAGAACTATTGCAAGGTCCCAAGCCAGCACCCTAGTGCAAGTTGCAGGCCTCAGCCTCAAAGTGCCACGAAGGAAACGAGTGATCAGGGGGTCTCGACCCCAAAATGTACTACCCACCAGGGCGTGGAAAGCCGCAATGGCCACCACGTATACCTTAAGCGTGGAAGGACATAGACCTGATACAAAGCGTTCTTGCAGAAACTCGAATACTGTGTTTACTGAACAGTTAACCGGATCCCACTGACGCTGGTAACACCAAGAAGTGAAAAACTCTCGAAATAGTGAATATAGTTTCCTCGTAGCGGCAGCTCTGGAGCTTAGAATGGTCTCAACAACCTCGGTTGAGAGACCACTCTCTATGAGTTGGGCCCCCTCAGAGGCCAAACCCACAGTTTCCAAATCCCCTGCCGGGGGTGCAATATTGCATCCCCTGCCTGAGACGGAAGGTCTCTCCTGATCGGGACCTCCAAGGGAGGTCCGTCGAGGAGAAAAATTAGGTCCGCAAACCAAATTCAGCTCGGCCAGGGTGGTGCTACTAAATAGGCTTATTCCATCCTGGCGGAATCACTCCAGAACTCCTGGGAGCAGAGCAACAGGGGGAAATGCGTACAGACGTAGCCTCAGCCACGTCTGCACCATAGCAACCAGCCCCGAGGGGACTGGTTGAGGTGAGGGATAACCAGAGTGGACAGTGCGTCGTATGCTGAGACGAGAACAAATCCACTTCTGCCTGGCCATAAAACTCCCATATTTGCTCCACCGCCTCGGGGTGGAGTCCCCTGGCCTCAGCCCCTGCCTCGACAGGGTGTCTGCTCCAATATTCTGGCCCCCCTGGAATATACACTGCCCTCAGACAGCGTAATTTCCTGAGGGACCAAAATAATAGGCCACCAACGTGTTGTCTGTGGGTCAAGAACCAGAGTTTCCTCCATATAACCAAGGCGCGGGGATACTGCCGCGTGATCTTGATCGTACGGAGTGGGTTTCCCCTCAGGGAGAACCCTCTGGTCCTGAGCCACCACTGTAAAGGTCTCACGTACAGCAGGTCAAAGGGTATCACATTGAACGCTGCTGCCCTGAGGCCTAACAGTCACTGTTTCAGAACAACACATGATGGCCCCTCAGGTCTGGGAGGAGATGTCTCAACGCATTGAAGACGACCATCATCTCTAGGCAATTCATGTGCCAAGCGAGATGATGACTCCTCCCAAGCCCTGAGCTGAGCGGCCTTCCAATACCGCTCCCCAGCCGGTGAGGGAAGCATCTGTCGAGATAGCAACTCGCTGGCAAAGAGCTCCCACCACCGAACCCTGGGTTAAGAACCAGTGTTTCCTCCATATAACCAAGGCACGAAGGCACGGCCGCGTGATCTTGATCATACGAAGTGGGTTTCCCCTCGGGGAGAACCCTCTGGTCCTGCGCCACCACTGCAAAGGTCTCATGTACAGCAGGCCAAAAGGTATCCCGTTGGACGCTACTGCCACAAGACCCAACAGTCTCTCGAACTGTTTTACAGTGCGTGACTGGCCTAGCCTCAGCTCTTTTGTGGCTGTTAGGATAGCAGCTACACGAACGGGCCAGAGTGGCCCGCATCGTCACTGAATCCCATACCACACCAAGGAAAGTGGTTCTCTGTACTGGAGAAAGCACACTCTTCTTGGCATTGAGCCTCAACCCCAACATCTGCATATGAGCGAGAACGACACCTCGGTGCCGAACCGCTAACTGTTCTGATTCCGCTAGAATCAGCCAGTCATCTATGCAATTCAGAATGCGTATACACTGCAGCCTGGCGGGGCCAGAGCTGCGTCTACACACTTCGTGAATGTGCGGGGTGATAGAGCTAGACCGAAAGGAAGTGCCTGATACTGGTGTTCTTTGCCCCAAAGAAAACCTCAGGAACCTCCTGTGCTGAGGGAGGATGGAGATATGGAAGTATACGTCTTTTAGATCTATCGTGACAAACCAGTCCTCGGATCTGATTTGAGTCACAATCTGTTTGAGTGTCAGCATCTTGGACTTGAGTTCCAGCATCAAACACTCCAACAGACGAAGATCTAATATGTGACGCAGCTCTCCATCCTTTTTTGGAACAATGAGATAACGACTGTAAAGACCCGACGCAATGTCGGGTGAGTACACCTGCTCTATAGCTTTCTTTGCTAACAGGGCCTTTACCCCTTGCTCCATTACCAGAGAGATTACCATTACCCATAGAGATATATTTGACAGTAGCTTCCGCGCTGCCAGAAAATCTACCAAGGGAACCAGCCCCTCGAGGCTGGCCTCTGGTGTAATAAAGACAGCCAGTTCGGGGACCTGAAACATACTGGCAGAAACCACCCGAACTGACTGTTTTCGAACCCCCCTCAGAGGGCGCGAGTCCGACGCAATGTCGAGTTGATGCTGCGCCAGAAGCTCGCTGGAGAACGCTGCGCCCCGAAGCACCAAGGGTGGCGGGGTTGGCAGAACGGTCCCCTGAGGGCACCGAGATGGAAAGGGCACCGTATAATGAGGTGTACACCATTCCACCCCGGTTGGGGCTGCCCTCACCGGTCTGACGCCGTGGCGCCAGACCCTTTCTTTTGAGCCGCAGCCTTCTCAGCATGAAGAACGGTCCTCGGATCCGGCTTCTGCTTTGAAGGCTTTGGCTGCTGTGTTGTGTATGAGAAACTAGCCGGCTGGAGCTGCTCACGCCCAGCAGCCCCAGTGGGTTGGACATAGCGAGGGAGAGATTATCTTGTATCTTTCTCCATGATTCCCATCAAATTGAGCCAGAGGTGTCTCTCAGTGACCACATTTTTTTGGCTGCCATCCCTGAGAGATAAATCTGAGGCCCGACGGAGTTCTCAAACCCCATCGGGCCAACTCCCTCACTTCTGTCCAAATACCACAGCAGGTCAGCCTGATATGCTTGCAGCACTGCTATAGTATGCAAGCAGGCTCATGCTAGACCCACTGCCATATATGCTTTTCCCACTAGATTAAAAAACAGTTTTCTTTAATGGTTTAGTGAGAGAAGCCGACGCCTTCAGGGACGATACTGAACCGGGAGACATAGCTCGCAAGTGTCTGTTCTACCCGGGGTATTGCCCCATAGCCATACTCTCTTAACCCTCTGGGGACCAAGAACAGGCCCGCGCGTTTTGCTGTTTTTTTTTCACATAGCAGCAACATAGACTTAAAATACTCCGTCATTTATGGTCATATAAATAAAATCAATACATGATTATAAACTATAGAGGGTCTTCTTTTTTTGTGTACACTCACATTAACATCAAAACCTTGTGCTTTTTTTAAAATAAATCAAATAAACAGGGTGCGCTTTCAGCTCACTCTGTCTCCGCAAAAATCTTTCTGAAACATGTCTGGAAAATGAACGGAAACTCCGCTAATACTTATCACACAAACATGAAACATACGTCTAAAGAATGCTTTAAATTTCTACTTTTAAATAAAACAATTCACATTTAAAACAAATATTCTCCTGCAATGTAATCTGTCAAAAACTAAAGAGAAGTACAGTTTCTCCTGTCTCAGCTCATTATCGTTAATTTGTTCACACCCACTCGCAGAGCGCGCTATTCATAAGATAATGTGTTGAGGCCATTTGCAAAATAGATAAACGCCCCCAGGCAAATGCTGTAAACACACAATATTTTTTAGTCAGATTAAGATTCGTCTTGCGCGGCTATGAGGAATAATCCCGGGACATTTACCACAGAACAAGTGCTGGTTTCACTTCGAGGAGGAGCAACAGATTGAGCTGAGAAGTGTAAGTGTTTTGTGCTTTGTTCTAATCGCGATATAGAATAACGTTAGTGTCTGTAAACGGACAAATAGCATATCCTACTGTTTAAATGTGAATTATGTTTCTCTCTGTGTGTGTGTGTGTGTGTGTGTGTATGTGAATGAATGAATGAATGAACGCACAGATACGCACTGTTACAGACGAAATAAAAGAACAGTTCTTTGACTAGTTTTGGATAAAGTTTTTCAAATCAAATAAGCATCAAATAAGCTTCAAAATAAAGACATCAAATAAGCTTATGTTTTGTCAATAAACTAATCAACTAAGATGTTTGTTCCAATGCAAGCTATATCAAAATAATGAATCCTCAACTTTGAAATATGTATGATCAAACTAAGACATTTATGGAAAAAGACTATTTTCTTTTCAAGATGTTTCCAACTCTAACTTTGAACTTTGAACTGAAATAAAACCATGTCTATATGGTGAAGGGTGTGTGATAGAAGTGTCCAGACTTATGCACCCAGTATTTTCCTTATATAAATCCAAACAATCTAAAAGCCATTCTTTTTTAAATCTCCTCATTCTTTGTGCAAGGCTCCTGTAATGATATGACCTGATAGCACCTAATAGGGCCATTATGGGAGGGTCTTTGTCTTTCTCAGGTGTGGAATGCCACACATATTAATGAGAGATCACGCCTCCTGCATAAAGCTTTCTCAAACAAAACACGTCATTAAAAATGTAAAAGACTTTATTGACTTATCTGAATGAGCAGTCAGGATGATTCTCACATAGTTTTGGAGCAAATATTCTAGGCTATGTGATACAATTTTCAAAAGTCTTGTGAAGAAATAATCAATATGTGTTTTGTGGTCTTATTTCAGCAACTTTCATTTTAATTTTTTTCAATAACCACGCATAAACATTATTCTATTAAAAATACAAACATGTACATACATGTTGCTCACTCATCATGGTAGTCCCGTCTGTGCTATATAGAGTGAATTTACACCTTTGCCATTAACATGTTTATAAATAACTGAAAAAAGCACAAATGTCAGTGCATGTCAAAACATCCCAAGGGCCCCAAAAACACTCTGGTCCCCAGAGGGTTAACCCCCAAATATCTGAATATACATGAATGTGGGGCCAAAAAATGAGTAAGGCTTTTTCCATGATCTAGACAGCTCGCTGTGCAGATCGGGAAAAATGGAAGGCCCCGTGATGGAGGTGGAAAAATAGAGGGAAGGAAACTTGTTCAATTTATTTTAAGGACGAGTGCCCCCTTATTTCTGCTGGCCATTAGATATTTAATTTATCTACAGCCTTAGTAAACACCTCCACCAGCTTATTATTATATATATATTTTTTTATATATACACATTCTTTATATATATACACTTTATTTTATATATAATATATAAACTATCATATATATATATACACTCACCGGCCACTTTATTAGGTACCCCATGCTAGTAACGGGTTGGACCCCCTTTTGCCTTCAGAACTGCCTCAATTCTTCGTGGCATAGATTCAACAAGGTGCTGGAAGCATTCCTCAGGGAGTTTGGTCCATATTGACATGATGGCATCACACAGTTGCCGCAGATTTGTCGGCTGCACATCCATGATGCGAATCTCCCGTTCCACCACATCCCAAAGATGCTCTATTGGGTTGAGATCTGGTGACTGTGGAGGCCATTTTAGTACAGTGAACTCATTGTCATGTTCAAGAAACCAATTTGAAATGATTAGAGCTTTGTGACATGGTGGAAGTAGCCATCAGAGGATGGGTACATGGTGGCCATAAAGGGATGGACATGGTCAGAAACAATGCTCAGGTAGGCCGTGGCATTTAAACGATGCCCAATTGGCACTAAGGGGCCTAAAGTGTGCCAGGAAAACATCCCCCACACCATTACACCACCACCACCAGCCTGCACAGTGGTAACAAGGCATGATGGTTCCATGTTCTCATTCTGTTTACGCCAAATTCTGACTCTACCATCTGAATGTCTCAACAGAAATCGAGACTCATCAGACCAGGCAACATTTTTCCAGTCTTCAACTGTTCAATTTTGGTGAGCTCTTGCAAATTGTAGCCTCTTTTTCCTATTTGTAGTGGAGATGAGTGGTACCCGGTGGAGTCTTCTGCTGTTGTAGCCCATCCGCCTCAAGGTTGTGCGTGTTGTGGCTTCACAAATGCTTTGCTGCATACCTCGGTTGTAACGAGTGGTTATTTCAGTCACTGTTGCCCTTCTATCAGCTCGAACCAGTCTGGCCATTCTCCTCTGACCTCTGGCATCAACAAGGCATTTCCGCCCACAGAACTGCCGCTCACTGGATGTTTTTTCTTTTTCGGACCATTCTCTGTAAACCCTAGAGATGGTTGTGCATGAAAATCCCAGTAGATTAGCAGTTTCTGAAATACTCAGACCAGCCCTTCTGGCACCAACAATCATGCCACGTTCAAAGTCACTCAAATCAACTTTCTTCCCCATACTGATGCTCGGTTTGAACTGCAGGAGATTGTCTTGACCATGTCTACATGCCTAAATGCACTGAGTTGCCGCCATGTGATTGGCTGCTTAGAAATTAAGTGTTAACGAGCAGTTGGACAGGTGTACCTAATAAAGTGGCCGGTGAGTGTATATATATGGGCTATATATAATTCTCATACGCTGGGGAAGAGATGGCAAATCCACTTCCCCCATGATTGTGTCACTTTCAATGTCCAGCACATCTACCTCCTCGGAGGTAGAGCACTGAAGCATTGATTTCTCTCCCCGGGCGGAAGAGACCGCAGCGCGGGCTTCCGAGACCGGAGAGAGAGCACTGGATCCCTCGTGGAAAGGGAGGAGATAAGATCCGCGGACCCGTCTCCAACCCCGTAAAGAGATCCTATTCGCGATCCACAGGAATGCATTCTCCGCGCTGCCTCGGCAGACGCGTGTCCTGCACCCCGAGGATCGCGAGCCTGGCCACTTTCCTCGAAAAGTGACAGGCGGGAGTGGAGCATGCGAAGCGAAAGCTTCTCACAATGTTGCAATCAGCCCCCTCGGAGGCTGATACCGCATGCTCCACTCCCAAACAAACTACACAAAGCTCGTGTGTGTCCCCACCCGTTAAATAACGCGGGCAGGGAGAAGCACAGAGTTTGTAAAGTTGTTTCCCCATAACTCTTCCCAATAATATCGAACAGACAACAATAAATAGACAGAGACAGAGTAACACAGATCGCTTGCTGAGACACAGAAGCTAATGCCGCGTTTCACCGGATGTGCTCTTATGCCTTCCTGGTCATGACGTCACCCGCCCGTGACGCTCATTCTTTCCATTGGACTAGTTGACATTGATGCTCAGACGCATTCACGCTGGGGGCGTTCCCAAAGCGTCGATGACGCATCGCGAGTTCCCTCGAAAGGGAACAGATGATTTACATTGTAATAACATATTACAATAACAATTTTTACTGTATTTTTGATCAAATAAATGCAGCCTTGGTGAGCAGAAGTCAAATAGTCAAGTCAAATATATTTATATAGCGCTTTTCCCAATACAGATTGTATCAAAGCTGCTTCACAGTATCAATCAAAACAACTTAACAGTGTTTGTTTATTACTGGAAAAGGCATCCAAGTTTGGTAGAGCTGATCAGTGGTATGATGGGTCATTTAATTTGAATATCCCCAACTGAGCAAGCCAAAGGCAACAGGTGGAAAGAGACTCTTTAAACCACATTTAAACATCTTAATTGCTCCAAACTCTTGACCACTGTATAATCAGCATGTCTGGATTCATAAAAAGGAAACTCTCCTCACACACGTTTCTCCTCAGGCTCCAGAACCCGTTTGAGTGCCCGTATAACGGCAGCCGTCGGCAGGACTGCGAGTGCAGGAACGACTACTCTTCGGCCGGTTACACCGTGTTCCAGCGCGTGCGGCTCCATCTGCCCACGCTGCGCATCATCAGTGAGTGTCAGCGCTACCTGGACCTCACACACACACACACACACACACACACGCAGTCAACACTAACATTATTCAGATAACATGAAAAATAATGTGTGTATAGATAAATAAATATATAATAAAGCAATATACAGTCAAACCAAACATTATTCAGACACCAAATATAACTTTTGATATTGTTTTACTAGTGTGTGCAGTGGGTCTTCCTAATTTAAAAAATTTGATTGTGTTTAATTTCTGATTGTGTTTACTGTGTTTCAGCGGCTGATGTGAGGTTCAGTCAGACGCTGTTTGGTCGCGCGGTGCCGTTCGCGTCCGCTGGAGACTGTTACAGCGCGGCTAAATGTCCTCAGGTACAGCGCTAGAGTTCCACTGGCTGATCGATGAGCCCTGTGCTGACGTCTGCAAGTGGGAGAACACTGATGTTTAAGAGTCTTTTCTGCTGCAGTTATTTGATCAAAAATACAGTAAAAATTCTGAAATATTACTCAAGTGTAAATCAGCTGTTCTCTATGTGAATATACAGTAAAGTTAAAAAGAACAGCATTTATTTGAAATAGATTATTTTACATTATAAATGTCTTTAATGCCATTTTCAATTTAATGCGTCCTTGATGAATAAACCCTCCTAAAAAAAGCTGGGTGGTCTTAGCTGATCTTCCAGCTGGTTTAGAGGGGTTTAAGCCACTTGACCATCTTAAACCAGTCAACCAGCCTAAGCTGGAAAGCATTAATTACCCTGCTGAAAGAAAACAGCTGAAACCAGGTTGTATATGCTGGTTTAAGCTAAAGGTAGTCGGTTTGAGCTGGTCTCCCAGGCTGGCCAAGCTGGTTTTATCTGGTTTAATCTGGTCTCCAGGCTGGCCAAGCTGGTTTTATCTGGTTTAATCTGGTATCCAGGCTGGCCAAGCTGGTTTTATCTGGTTTATACTTGTCTCCAGGCTGGCCAAGCTGGTTTAATCTGGTTTAATCTGGTCTCCAGGCTGGCCAAGCTGGTTTTATCTGGTCTAAACTTGTCTCCAGGCTGGCCAAGCTGGTTTTATCTGGTTTAATCTGGTCTCCAGGCTGGCCAAGCTGGTTTTATCTGGTTTAAACTTGTCTCCAGGCTGGCCAAGCTGGTTTTAGCTGGTTTAAGCTGGTCTCCAGGCTGGCCAAGCTGATTCTCCCAGCTTGACCAGCTAAAAAAGTGTCTAAAACCAGCCTGAGAGACCAGCTAGAACCAGCTTACCAGCTTAGGCTGGATTTGGCTGGGTTTTTTTAGTGGGGTAATTAATACATTTTTTAATTGATCAGTAGTGCACATCACGTAACGGAAGTGAAATGGTCAGCGAATGTTTGTGTTAATTGTCTCTTCTTCTCTGATTGGTTAGGGTCAGTTCAGTATAAATCTCAGTGGAACGGGACTGAAGGTCGCAGAATCCACTAAATGGGTTTCTCAAGGCAACTACGTCACGCTCAAAGTTCACCGCTCAGAGGTGAGGAACCACCTGACTTATCATACACAGGACTATTGTTATAGATAGTCCTTCTTCTTCTTCTTCTTCTTTATCTTCTTCTTCCGCTCTTGAGTCTATGGCAGCCCATAGAACCGCTGGTGGGAAAATTATTATAGAGGACAGACTGAACATTAACCACAGCAAATTTGGAGTCTCTGACTCAATCCCTCTAGCGCCACCTACTGTCGGAGTTTGCACTCGTGTTTATGATAATAACTTTTGAGCCGTAGGGGTTAGAAACAAAATTATTTTTTCCCACTGATTCCTCGGGCTCATGGCATACATTTTTCAGCCATTGTAAATTTTCCACAAAAAACCTCCAAGACGGTTTGTCCGATTTTCACCAAAGTTGGCACAGATCATCTTTAGACCGTGCTGGCAAAAAGTTCTTAAAAACATTCTGATAAACCAAATCGTTCTTGAATAACACGCCAACAAATTAAACGAAGAACACATCAAAATGGCCGTAATGCTGTCTCTCCGCAACGCTTTAGCGTATTGAGACGAATATTGGTACATGTCATCACAAGCATGACCTGAGGATACATGCAGAGTTTCAGCACAGCGCCACCTACTGGTCAGGAGATATGAAAAAATAGAAATTTTTCATAGGGTTAGGCCAATATGTGCTAAAATGACCAATATGGGAAAATTGGGTATTACTTGACTTGGTATGCTGCACTGAATCAAAAACAAAATAAAAAATAAATAAAAGACTGTTATATAATTTCTGGACAAACGTTTTTTTTTTTTTCAAGTTTTTTTTTTTCTGAACGGTTTGCCCAGAAATCATAAAACTGTTTTTTATTTTTGATTCAGTGCAGCAAACCAAGTCAAGTAATACCCAATTTTCCCATATTGGTAATTTTGAATTTGTTGTAAAATGCTGTAAGACTGATTTTAACCAAATTCGACTCGAGATTCGAGATTATCTTCTGACCATGATAGCAAAAACTTTCTCAAACATTCTCAAATAATGCATCAGCAAATTTGATGGCATGATGCCAAGATAATGCACAAAATCAGTTTGGTAACAGCGCCATCTATTGGTCAAGAGTGATAATCAATTTAATCATATTACAAGTGATTGTATTTGTGATTTTCCAGCCATTTTGACTAAAATAATCTTAAAATGTCTTAAATTGCTCATTGCTGCAGATCTCGTCATGCCTTTGTTGTGCTTGGCCCCTGAATGGCTGCTTGCAGCTATATTTATTATTATTGTTGCGGTATGCAGGGATTTAATAATCTTTGTTTTATTGTTTCTTTCCCGCGTCTCGCAGGACGGCAGCAGAATCTACGGGCGCTGTGGGGGTTTCTGTGGGAAATGTCTTCCTCATCCTCATACGGGACTTTCTGTCGAAATCCAGTGAGAGAAACCGTGAACTTCGTGTTCCCGTGAACAGAACGCGTCCGAGAATCTCACTGTGCGTCTCTCTTTAACGTCTGGCAGCTACGGTAAGCCTTCGCAAACCTTTTCGACGTCCCGAAAGTATCGAGAACCAAATAAGTGAGTCTCTCTGGGAACCAGGATGCAGAACGGATTTGTTTTTAATGGAAAAACATGATTGATCTGGTCAGTCGAGATGCCGTTGAACCAAATTGTGATTGTTTGGTTGCAACGACAGTGTAAGAGCGTGTATCTTTATTTCTTAGTTGTAGCAAACGTTCAAATCCTTTATTTGGGCAGCGTTTTGACGTAAAGGGATTTATGAACAATTTAAAAATATTTCATAATTCAGTATATGTGCTGTTTGTCCAGATGGATATGAACTACTGCATGTAAAACACACTGTTAACGAGTCGTTTAAGAGTAACAGAGCCTGACGACAGCAATCAGCTTGATATGAAAATATAAATAATTGAATGTTTTGTATATTTGAACGTTTAACATTTAACATGGTTATGACAATCCAGAAAACATTACAGACTAGCACTACTGAAATCTCTTCATCTCGACGATCGTCAAATGTAAAATGCCTGAAAATGTTAATGTTAATATATGATAGTTTTCAATAATATTTAATAGTGTGCTGACATCATTTACGGTGCTAAAAGCAAACTGATCAAGCATGTGCTTTTGCTTTTTAAACGGTTACTAATCTGATTGAAAACAGAACAACGTGAAGCAATAATTACATAAACCAGCTGGGTTAGTTTAATAACTAGACAAGTTAGGAGACTCTAAAACCCATCCTTATTCAGATATAATATCACAAAATTCAATTATTTGACACATTAAATGGGCCAGATTTAGTGCTTTGTTTAGACGAGCTTCACTCCAGTTTTATTAGAAGGGAAGATTAAAGTAGCTCGAATTAAAATGGCATAACCCTACCTCTCATAATCATGCGTTTGTACCTTATTTATGTTTGACAATATTTATTCTGTAATTAAATGTACATACGTCATATTACGTCATGACAGGAAAGCGTATTATGAAATATTGATCCTTTTCTTGTGTCATTAACAAGGTTTACAGTGTAACGGTGCTGTTTTTACTACTGAATCGACCTTTAACCTCCAGCAGGACGGTTAGTTTGACTTGGATGCTTCTTTACTGTATGTAAATACCTGAGAAGTGTTTTAAATGCTAAAGTAGACTTTCCGCTTTCAACCAAAGTCTGCTTGATTACGTAATGTATGCTAATATGAGTTGAAGGATCTTGAGTTTGAGCCTGTTTTAGCCTATAACGGATCATCTACGAGCAGCTAACACACCTTTGACTGTCATTGTGTTGATAGACAACTGAACTATATAAGGTCTGTATCAGAAGTTAAAGGACTATATGATGCACTGTGTGCCAAGAGTCGTGTAGACATTATTTACACCTGTATATTAACAGTTCAGCTTTGTGAAATGTGTATTTTTAACATTCATACTTGAAGTGTGAAGATTGACGTTTTGCATCTCGGTGGAATGAAAAACGAGGCTTGTTTTCCACTCGTTGCCCAAAGATATTTTCAATACAGTAATCCAGTGTTTTTTATAATGAAATCATCATTTTTGGTGCTACAGTAAAAATGTAATTGAGATTGTATTGATGTAATGGATTTACAGCACTGTACTAATGCTGATCGTCATAATAAAATGAAATATGTTCATTTTGGATGTTTTTTATTGGGAAATTGTTGCATAAGATTTAATATGCAGATGCTCAGTGTTTATGTTCATTTGAAACCTTTTCAGTGTTTTTTTTTGTTTTTTTTTGGTTTTTAACCAGCAAAAGATTGAATTCACCTTTTGCATCCCAACTCAGAAACCGTTTACATTTGTAAGTATTTCTGTAAGTATATGGACACTTTATAGTTTTATCAGGTATGTCATTCAACAAAATGAAACAAGAATTTGAAACGCAAGTGTATGTTGATATTAATTTCTCCGGATATGTGCATGCAGTAACACGAGCGGCCAGCAGGGGGCAGTGCTGCTGCAGTGAACCGCGAGCTCTTCACGTCACATGATGTGAATTAATGTTTTCTCCTTCACATTCCAGAGAGAGAGAAAATGAATGTCAGCTGCACTAAACATGAGAACATGTCAGACTCGAGCTGAGCATGGCGGTCCATACGGAAATCATTTTCAGTTGTTTGCCGCGATCCGTAACCCTTCCTTTGACGAGGTGAAGCGTCATCAATCAAACCGCTCCGACAGGCAGAAGTGCTCACGAGTCACACACACACGTTTATTATCCTTACATACTGGATATTTTAATACCAAAGAACCCTCGAGATATTTCAGTAAAATGAATGTATAATCTGTACAAACAGTTAGTGGCGTGTCACTTTAATGTTCAGGTAGATTAACATTGATCGAGTGACCTGTCAGAATCAACCAATCACGTGAGTTTGGGGGCGGGGCTATCTGTGTAATGATTATATAAATCTCTTTTTTTTTTTGCATTTCTAGTTGGTTGTGACATTCACATTGCCTTTGAGTCAACTTGAAAAGCTGAACATTCTTAAATCAAGACACATTTACTTAGTAAAATTATTACATTTAAAATAAGGCACATTGACTTGTGTTTCAGCTTCAGAACATGAAGATGTCCGATGAGACGTCGACGCACAGGCATGATGGGATTGATATAATCGTAGGCAAAACAGCAGCTTTACTCTCCTCTCATGTTCACCTGATGAGCCTCAACTCTCCGCGCACGACAAGCCTTTAAACTCACACAAAACATCCACACACTAGTCACCAGTGATCTTCAGCGGTCTTCCTCGCAGGAGTGTGTGTGATATTACAGATGGTCACTGGTTGTGTGATGAATCGAGACACAGTTAAATCTCTCCTGATACACTGAAGCACCAGAGGAACTCGAGACCGCAGAAAAACTAGGCCATTTTAAACTTTAGAAAGCACTAAAGATAAAAAGTATGTGTATAAGTGATTGTGCGAGTGTGTGTGTGTGTGTGAGAGAGAGAGAGAGTGTGTGTGTGTGTGTGTGTTTGTATGTATGTGTGTGTGTGTGTGTGAAGTGAGAGAGAAAGAGTGTGTGCATGCCAGTTTGTGAGTGTGTGTGTGTGTGTGTGTGTGTGTGTGTGTGTGAGTGTGTGCATGCCAGTTTGTGAGTGTGTGTGTTAGAGTGTGTGTGTGTGTGTGTGTGCATGCCAGTTAGTGAGTGTGTATGTTAGAGAGTGGGTGTATGTTAGATTGTGTGTGCGTGTGTGTGTGTGTGTGTGTGTGTGTGTGCATGCCAGTTTGTGAGTGTATATGTTAGAGTGTGTGTGTGTGTGTGAGAGAGAGAGAGAGAGAGAGAGAGAGAGAGAGAGAGAGGAGAGAGAGAGAGAGAGAGAGAGAGAGAGAGAGAGAGAGTGAGTGTGTGTATGTCAGTGTGTGATGTCAATGGTAAGATGGATTATGTTCGTTGCAATCAAACAATAATGTTGTTGTGGTTTACTCCAGATGCTGATGATGAACTGATCATGTTAAGGTGAATGAAATGATGTCCATGTGTGTGTGTGTGTGTGTGTGTGTGTCCTGGTCTTCACACGCAGGATGTGTGTGTGTGTGTGTGTGTGTGTGTGTGTGTGTGTGTGTGTGTGTGTGTGTGTGTGTGCGTGTGTCTCCTGGTCTTCACACGCAGGATGTGTGTGTGTGTGTGTGTCAAGTCAAGTCAAATATATTTATATAGCGCTTTTCACAATACAGATTGTATCAAAGCTGCTTCACAGTATCAATCAAAACAACTTAACAGTGTTTGTTTATTACTGGAAAAGACATCCAAGTTTGGTAGAGCTGATCAGTGGTATGATGGGTCATTTAATTTGAATATCCCAGTTTGTGAGTGAGTGTGTGTGTGTGTGTATGTCTCTGGTGTACACGTGCAGGATGTGTGTGTGTGTGTGTGTCCTGGTGTTCACGTGCAGGATGTGTGTGTGTGTGTGTATGTCTCCTGGTGTACACGTGCAGGATGTGTGTGTGTGTGTGTGTGTCCTGGTGTTCACGTGCAGGAGCAGGGGCTGATGGGAAGCTCACCTGGAATGCTTTGGTCAGCTGGTTAAATTAGTACCTTCAGTTTCGCACCTGGAGAGCAAAGCATGATGGGAATGTGGAGCGGAGAGTGACGAGTTCATGCATGAGATAAACGTGACTAACTCTTTCAGAAAGTCCTAAACAGGTAAAAAAACAAAAAAGTGTTTTTGTGTCATTATAATGAGCTTCATATAAAACCTACACAAGTTTCTTCACATTTGTCCTCTGTTTCCAGTCATCTTCAGACCAGCACACACACCGCAGCGCTGTCTCCCGTCTCCTGCGCTCTGCATGTGGACAGCTCTGTTTGATTAACCTCTGCTGTTTTCACGGGCCAGATTCTCAGCTGTGGACCGACTCAAATTGAATTATGGGAATATTTGTTCAGCTCACTGTCGATGAGGTCGACGCACTGATTCCTGTCCAGCCTCTGATTTTAATTTCCTGAACACATGATACGGTATCAAAGCCTGAGTCGTGTCAGACGCTCAGAGGTGTCCGGGAACATCTGTGGGAGCGAGACACAAACGCCCTGCTATTTAATACAAACAACAATTTTTTTTTTACAACAGTTAAAAACAGTTACAAATAGTTGCGTTGAACACTTGATCTTCTCAAACTGTGGCTGTATGTAAATGAGGAGGCGGGGCTTCACACTTAGCCCTGTGTGCAATGTTTACTAAAGCTTTCTTTGTCTTTCTTTGATTCATGTCAATCAGTGTATGCTTGTTTCCATCTGTTTTGTCTCTCATAAGCAGATCGCCTTTGTATTAGTTTGCTTGTTGTTTGTTTGCTATTTGTATTACATTGTGAAGCGACCTTGGGTTCTTGAAAGGCACTATAGAAAATAAACGTATTATTAGAGCTGGCAAATCGAATAATCGCGATTAATCACATCTAA